TTTCATGCTATACCAATAATCAGAATTCTGTACTCTCTAAAACAAGACCAACCGCTTGTCAATACGATACTCCTAGGCGGAGATATCGGCTCCTAAACCTCCCCTCCCACATGCCAAACGCCGCCTCGAATCCACATTCCACATGTGTACATTAAACTTGCATAACTTCACAAGGAAGTAATTAGATATATGTACTAGCTTAAGCTATATGTTGAAAAAATACATTTAAACTTCTTTGCATTGTTGCTTTGTTAACATATATTCAGGAAATCGGCCCCTAGTCATAAAGCAGTAGTAGAGCAAAACGTCAAATTTTTAATGATCGAGACACAAGCAAGTGATTGTAATTTATGTCAACTGTGATTCTCTAAAACCTTAAAAATTCATTTATTATTCAAAGTGTAGTCCTAACATAACTGTACATTTTGATTTATTTTAATTTTATCAACAGTACTTATGCAATGAAAAAAATACCTATAGTGTTTTTCTATTTGGAACTCTTAGCACTTTCCTATGTTGCACGATGTGTCAATTTCTGATGATACTTCCCAAATATTTCTAGTTATTTACTATTCTTTGGCCCCTATTCCTTGCCTGTGGGCGTGCCATTGCATGTAGACCTGTTTATCTCTCGCAGACGATGATGCCGAAAGATTTCAACGTGGAGGTGGAGGCGGTGCGCGACACGCACAAGCTGCTCGATTCGACAGTGATCCTGCTTGATCAACCTGCTAGTGACCTCAACCACATAGTCAGTACGATTCTGCACCAGCTGCTTGACAAGGTCGAACCGTCGTGTTCGTTCGACGAGGCAAAGTCGGCGCTGTTCACCCACGACGCCGGTACGTGCGTCTTAACATGCGTAGTCTGTTCACCCACGACGCCGGTACGTGCGTCTTAACATGCGTAGTCTGTTCACCCACGACGCCGGTACGTGCGTCTTAACATGCGTAGTCTGTTCACAACCATTGGCAGCAGGACGCGACACACGCCGTACGTGCGTCTACATGCGTAGTCTGTTCACCACTGACCCGGTACGTGCGGTCTTGACATCGCTAGTTCTGTCACCCACAGACGCCGGTTACGTGGTCCTTAACATGCGTAGTCCTGTTCACGAATCCACGCCGGGTACTGCGTTTAACATGCGTAGTTGTTCACCCAACGACGCCGGTACGTGACGTCTTAAATGCGTAGTCTGTCAACAGTAGCACCCACCGACCACGTGCCGGTACGTGCGTCTTAACATGCGTAGTCTGTTGTTTATAGTTATTATTAATTTATTAATGTTTAATTATATTGCATGTTGTATGAGTGTCTTAACGTACATAATCTGTTATTTATAATTATTATTAGTTTATTAAAGCCACAATATGCACATCTACACGCTAATTTCTCTAGTACTAGATTAGCAAATACTTTGTGTCATGCATAATCATACTACCTTAGGACAAAATAAACTCTAGTTCTTCCCATTTCACTGCGCATTGTCTTATAAAAGGTATTTGAAAATACCTCCAATGTTGTTCAAATTCTCTGATGTTGTTGACACTTTCACGTTGCTCTGCCAAGCAACCGTACAGCGGGTGTAGCAAAGATTTCTACGGCCCGTGTGCGTTTTTCGCTTGCACGCTGCTAGCGCAATGACATGTTATACAAAATACTAAAATCAATACGTTATTCTCAGAGTTTATTACGCTGCCTATTATTACTTTCCCAATAGCCATTGATGTTACATACACTGCAGTTCACAATACTACAACTATCTTAAAATGTAAATGACTATATTCTCTGCTCAACACCCATAGCAACATGTGACGTCACTTAACCGATTCAGGGTGAAATTGCTTGGCAAACAATTCGGCGTTGGCGCCAGATTACCAGATTTCGCACCTCTTTCTTGTGGGTTTTAAGCAAACGCGCAGTGAAATGGGAAGAACTAGAGTTTATTTTGTCATAAGGTAGTGTGATTATGCATGTCACAAAGTATTTGCTAGTCTAGTACTGGAGAAATTAGCGTGTAGATGCGCATATTGTGGCTTTAATATTTGATTATATTACATGTTGTACGAGTGTCTTAACATACATAGTCATTTATAATTATTATTAATTTATTAATATTTAATTATAATACGTGTTATTTTTATTAATTTCTGACCACTTCATCGAGTGCAGAGTATGTGTGCTCACTTATCAGATTTGTATTGTGTTCTGAGGTTCTGAGAGGTGTCTTCCCCTAGGACAGATGAGAGAGAGCTAGTGGTGCAGTGCTGGGAGTTTAACCTAGGCCATAGGCAGAAATTTAATCACTCACTGCTATCTTGCTTTCTCTCTATCAGTCCCTGGTGCTGATTGAAGAAAATTACATGCTAAACTGTCTCATGTTCAAGAACACGTACAGTAAACAAGGCATGATTTATCCCCAACACCCTTCAGCTAGAGATTCTGAGTGCTAACTGGTGTTAGAGTGCATGACAAAGCATTGTGTGGTCTTTGACTCTTTTATCTTTCATATAGGCTGTATCCTGGGGTGGCCTGGGGCTATGGCTCTTGGAAATACAGATGCATTAATTACAGCTAAACCTGCTGGTTTCACATTGGTGTTGTCAAAACGATTTTGTCGAGGCAATGTTATTGTCAAGGTCAGGGGCCCGTTGCCAGAAACTTCGTAAAGTTAAGGTTAATGTTAAGACTAATTTTTTTCTGGCAACGGGCTCCAGATCTCTATACTACGTCACCTGTTGTTTGTAGCACGTGTGTTAGCAAAGACGGTGCAAGGCTTGGGAGGGTCGGGTGACCAATTCCTTGGAGGCAGTTTCGACTATGACCAGTCCTGGATATGCACATTGTGAGTAAATGTTATATATAGCCACCTATCGCATATATACATGTAGGATCATGCTGCCACTTTATACTTTTTTTAAAGAAAATATACTTTTTATACTTTTTTCATACTTTTTTCGTGCATAAATGCTTTTAAATACTTTTTTTCCCAAAGATGGTCAAAACTCTTCGGACATACATTTAGGTACACTGTATTTGATGAGATTAAAGATGTGCTTTGCTAGTGAGTAGTCTTGTTGCAGGAGTGATGTGTGCTCTGTTCAGTGGAGTGTTTTTGATCTCAGCTCTCTGCTGTCAGTGACCAAATGTCAAATGAGCAATGCGCATTGCAGTGCTACCCCTGCATTGACACGAGCGAGGCGGGCCGCCTTGCTCAAATTCTCAGCCGCCACACAGAAATTTGTCCAAAACACTGCCTTGCGGACGAAACTTTTGACAACTTGAAAAAGAGATTCATTAAGAGTCTCATACAATGTGTTTAGAGTAGCTTAGAATGCACCAAATTGCACCATTTTTTCAAATATTTCTCGGGGGAGCACGCCCCCGGACCCCCCTAGCTTGCCCAGCCAGCAGCTGTGCTGCTCACTTTGCTAGGACCTCGAAATGCGCAAACACATCACAAAAAAACATTTACCACCTCACAGATCATATTGGCTGGGGAAACACTGCATTGAAATATTCCAGACTGAGGGTTCTCCTCAGAAGAGACAACTCCTCATGGCATTGCACACATCATTCCTGAAGCTTGTTTGTATACTGCACATAGGCTATAATGTATTCGGTAACAATGTATAAGGTAACAAATTAAGTGACTACAAATCATGGTAGGTTGATACAAATTTATACTTTGTTAATACTTTTTTTAGACAATTTTGATATTTTTTTCAGGACAGATTGTATACTTTTTTTGTAATATCCTGAGTGGCAGCACAGAGGATGTAGTCTTGGTATCATGTTAATTATTTTAAGATTATTGGTTGTATCTGGATCTATATTGCAGAGATGGTACAGTACAATTTTCATTGATGAGTAGATGAAGGGATTGATGTTATGCACCCATATATAACCAGGGTAGAAATTAACGCGAGTCCGGAGTCAAATACTCCCTGATTTACTGTCGGACTCCCTGATTTGACATATGCAGGAGTCCGTGTGACTTCCTGAAAATTTTGCTATACTAACTAGTTCGTTCCAGAGCACGGCCTCGCGGAATTACTGTATTTTTTCAGCAAATCTTTAATTTTGAACTTCATACTACAGACTCCCTTATTTTGCTGCGGACTCCTCTTTTTGAGAGCAGGGATTTCAACGGACTTGTTCAAAAGTTAATTTCTACCCCTGTATAACTGATGAATATGTTGCATTTTGTAGATGCTTAATCAAAAGTTTTCATTATGCATTTCCTTCGTTTGTGGACTCAGTTGCAATCTACCATGCTTGCAAAAAAGGCACGTGGCAATAGCGAGACTTAGACATCCAACTAACCTTGGTAGAACTAGTCAAGAGGTCAATTTCTTCATACTGCTGTTAGCTCCGTCGAAAGAGGTAAAATGTCTATCCTGCTTTGTGGCATACTAATGTGTTGGCATAGAGACTTTGTAAAACTCCATTTTCCTGAATACATTATATTATTGGCATGTTAATAAGATTTTATATTCTGTGCATTGTGTGATGCGCTGTAAAATGTACAAACCTATAATATGAAACGTTACATGGTTATACCACTGATCTCTATATATACTAACTGCATAGCTCTTAGTGGCCACTAGGTACAGCCACCAGACATCATGACACCACTCCTAGTAGTTCATCTCGCTCACTCTCCATCCCTCCTTTTTCGCGAACACCCCCTTTTTCATCTCGCTCGCTCTCATTCCCTCCTTTTTCGCTTTCACCCCATCTTTCACCTAACACTCGCTCTCTCTCCCTCCTTTTCCGTCTCACCCCCTGTTTCTCTCTTTCTCTCTTTCTCACTCTCCCTTCCTTTTTTTCGCCACACCTCTTTCATCTCGTTCGCTCTCCATTCCTCCTTTTTCGCCATGTCTCCTCTTTCTCTCTTTCTCGCTCTCTGTCCCTCCTTTTTACCACCCCCCTTCTTTCGTCTCACACTCACTCTACGTTCATCTCGGCCTAATGCCATACCCCATCTTGCTCGCTCTCCCTCCCTCCTTTTCTGCCACACCCCCTCTTTCTCTGTTTCTCGCTCTCCCTCCCGCCTTTTTGCCATGCCCCCTCTTTCATCTCCTTCACTCTTCATTCCTCCTTTTTCTCCACGTCTCCTCTTTCTCTCTTTCTCACCCTCCCTCCTTTTTCGCCACTCACCCTCTTTCGTCTCACTCTCGCTCTCCGTTTGTCTCGGCCGCGTGCCATACGTCCTCTTTCATCTCGCTCTCCGTTCGTCTCGGCCGCAGAAAGGTGCGAAGACAGCGCTGGACACATGCCGCGTATTCGCGTCGATCTTCGCCTACGTCGACTTCCGGCTGCAGCTGCACGATGCCGAGAATGAGGACGAGTTCCGCGGCGCGCTCAAGGAGATGACGACGAAGCTGGGGACGCTCGACCCGCAGTCGCTGCACAGCCTGCTGTCGATTCGCAGCGAGGAGCAGAAGGACATGGTGCGTGCGTCGCGATGCCTGGGGGTGGGCTGGGGGGTTGGTGGAGGTGGTGGTGGTGGTGGTGGTGGGCTGGGGGGTCGGTGGTGGTGGTGTGGGTTTGTTGGGTTGGTGGTGGAGTGGTGGTGTGTGGTGGGAGGTTTTGGTTGGTGTGTGGTGGTGGTGGGTTTGTGGGCTGGTGGTGGTGTGGTGGTTTGTTGGGTGCGTGGGGTGGTTGGTGGTGGTGTGGTGGTGGTGTGGAGGTTTGTTGGGTCGGTGATGGTGGTGGTGGGTTTGTTGGGTCAGTGGTGGGTGGAGGTTGTTGGGTCAGTGGTGTGGTGGTGGTGGTGGATGGGTTTGTTGGTGGTGTGGTTGGTGGTGGTGGTGGAGGTTTGTTGGGTCCAGTGCGGGTGAAGGGTTTGTTGGTCAGTGTGGTGTGGAGGGGTTTGTGGTCAGTGTGTGGTGGTGTGGTGGTGGAGGTTTGTTAGGTCAGTGGTGGTGGTGGAGGTTTGTTGGGTCGGGTGTGGTGGTGCCGGTGGGGTGGTGGTGCGGGTTTGTTGTCGGTGGCGTGGTGGTGGTGGTGGTGGTGGAGGGTTTGTTGGGTCGGTGATGGTGGTGGAGGGTTTGTTGGGTCGGTGATGGTGGCAGTGGAAGCTTTATTGGATTGCAGGTGCTAGGGTCAAAGCTGAGTTGTATTTCTAGGTTTTTGCTTAATTGTAGTGTTGTAGTTAACTATCATTATTAGTAGTATACATGCTAATCAAAGTATTCTGCTATCTTTCTTCTAGGATACTGTATATGTAAGCATGATTCACCCACTCAATCTGCAGATTAAATGTTCATTATAGTTTTATCTAATTTTATGTGCAATTTTTATGATGTGTGGTCACTATTTCAGAGCTCGGGTATGTGTCCAATCGGCCAGGGTCTGCTGGGTGACATCAAGAGACGATTACCTCACTACTTGTCAGATTACAAAGATGGTAGGTGGGCAAGAAAATCTCTCGTGCAACCTTATTGTTCAATTACACTTACAGACCATGTGTAAACACTTTTTTATTTGCTCATAAATTTCTAAATTATTCGGCATCAGGCAATTCGGTTATAACTTTTAAATATATGAGGGGCAATAGAAATTTATTAGTTCGGAGTTTATAAGTTTTAATAGTCTATGAATAGTTGTGTTTGGGTTTCCGTTCAATGTATGCTATCTGTCTCAAATCCAGATGGCTTGTCTGGCCTTGTAGGTATCTGTCTTACATGATATGGAAGAGCAGCATGCAAGTGACTAACTTGTGAACAGTATTCATCGTATATTAAATGGTTGTAATTAAGTTCCAGTTCTATTCCCCTTCCAATGCCAAAGGTTCACCACTGTAAAATTCAACCAATTATGTAATACGTTCAGTCCAGAACAACCGTTGATTGCTTGATGGGTATTTTTGAACTTTTCAGGTGTTGTCGGGCATAAGACTATACACAAGCTATTGGCCACAACGTTTTTTCTTTACTTCTCCTGTATCCTGCCTTCAATAGCATTTGGCGTTTTAAATGACTACAACACCAACGGAAAAATTAGTGAGTGATGTTTTGAATTGCACGATAGTAGTGATAGGCAATCAGTTGAAATTTAAAATTAATTATCGGTTACAGTCGACCAATCCTTAGTTACAATCAGTTGGTCTATGTTAGGTCTGGTTACATAACATCACACGTGATCATGTGTTTTTTATCTCCTGCATCTGTTTGTTTTTACAGTCTCAGATGTAATTACGTAGCATGCACAGCTCATAAACCCGATATTAAACATTTGGATGCATTCCATATTCATATACACTCTACAGTTTCAGCTCTAGAGGTTATGCACTATACTGTATGTAACAATAATTTGTTGGTGGTGCTAGAACAGCATGTTATCACGGATATTATATCCTGTGTTGCTTGCGTCAATGGCAGTGCATTTATATTGTGCACAAATATATGTATAATATAGCCAGCTGGTAAGTTTATGAAGAATGTTCTCGCGTGTTGAAAATCCCAATCACATAGTGTTCTCGCAAATAGAACATTCGAGTCACGTATTCATACGAATGGAAAGATCTTATCACCAGGTGTTCTCCTGCATTGAATATTCCAATCACATGGTGTTTCTGTGTCTGAACCTTCTTGTTTCCTAGTGTTGTATTGAACGGAGTATCGCAATCGATGATATCATCATGTGCTTATATACCCTGTTACATCGCTGACGTTTGTGTGCAGGTCTGCACAGAGTGGTCGTGGCGCAGGCAATAGGTGGGCTGTTCTTCCACATGACGGCAGGACAGCCACTTGTCGTTCTCCTCACCACCGCCCCGCTCGCTCTATACATGAAAGGTACAGTCATTGCGGGGAGACTTGCAGACGCTGCAACACTTATGCGCGTTGGTCTTTTGTCCAACTGTCAGAACAATATCTGTGATTAACAAAGAGTATTATCGCATACATATAGTTAAACTGTGGTGTTTGTTAAGGGGTGGGACAATACGGTTAACTCACGATGTGATCTGTGTCACGATACAGCTTTCGCGATATGATACGTATCAGAATACTTTCAAAAGAAACTATACCAAGCAAACTGCTTAATCAGTACGCTATTCTTATCGGTTCCATATATGCTTAGATGTACATAATGATTCATCATGCAAGTTCGTATTTCTCAGGGACACCTGCTTAATTTATTTCTTATTTTCTTTATTGTAAAAGTTTTCTTGAATAGTGATTAAATAGAAGTTTTTTAATCCGTAACAAAATTCTCTTGTAGTGATCTACAATATCAGTAAACAATTTGATGTCGAGTTCTATGACATGTATGCCTGTGTCGGCTTCTTCAATTCATTCTTCCTCATCCTCTTCTCGCTGTTTAATGGGAGCAACATCATCATTAAATGGTCAACCAGGTGAGTAGCTTATGTACTCAGGGACTATGGTCCCCCATAGTGGGTACTAAATTATTTCGCAGGACTCCACAGTGTAATATAGTATGATTAATTCTATGTGGGATGTAACTACATTATACCTACCCCAGTAATACCCTGCATTATGAAAATTATGCTACCCAGAAAATATACTCATAATGTTAATTCACGTAACACGAATCACATTTTCCAATTGATATCTATGATGTCATTGGAAATGCGCATCTACAGATAGGTTTTTGGCCAAAATAAATAATAGATAAAAGATAATCCCTTAATAACCTCCTCCAATACAAGCACACTTATGAACAGAAGTAAACATTGGCAAGCATATATTAATTATATATAATGATATAAGACATGAAAGGGAGTGCAGAAAAGGAATTAGTACTCTGTACCTGAACTACACTAAATGCAGAGTACCATGCATTTGCTGGAACACGCACATTCTATAAACGTGGGACATGTAGCCATTTCCCCTAAACTGCAGAAAGCTGTTGCTGGTGGCATTATTAAAAGTTGGCCTTTTTTAATCTGTTGGCATGCAGCTCACTGCATATGTATTCACATTAATTTTGTTGTACGTGATTAAGCAGTCCAGTACATGCCATAGTCTTGACTACTGAAAATGTTTCCAAGCATTCATAGTTGATTTGTTCACTGATTACTTATGATAGTCTTCACCAAAAAAATTTATTTCACACAATAAATGAAAACTGAGTTTTATTTGTTGCAGATCGACTGAAGAGATTTTCGCATTATTTATTTCAATTGCCTTCTCTGTCGATGCTTTTAGAGCAATTGCTAAAGGTATGGAGAAATAAATTCCTATACGACATGTTCTTGATAAATTATATCCTTTAGTATCATCATCTTGCTGTTTTGTCGTGTGTGTGTGTGTGTGTGTGTGTGTGTGTGCGCGCGTGCGTGCGTGCGTGTGTGCTTGCATGCGTGCATACTTGCGTGTGTATCCCGGGTTCATCCCAGAAGTTTTATAATGCATGTTGTGTAAGAACGGGTAAAGGTCAGTCTGGGGGAGGACTGTATAAACTGGATTCAATTACGTGTGACATAAGTGGCCTCAATGTACAGGTAAACTTGATCAGTTCATTAAGTTATACATCAAGCTGTGAAAACAGTGTGACTGTGTTGGGATTGTCAAGAGTGAACCGAGCTGGAAAATTAGGATATGTCAGTGGATTTGTGGGATATGTCCCAAATTAGCTTTGGCTTTGAAGGCACATCAGACCCGACATGCATTAAATGCATGGGATAGCCCGGATATATGTATATGTGTGTGTGTGTGTGTGTGCGTGTGTGCGTGCGTGCGTGCGTGCGTGCGTGCGTGTGTGCGTGTGTGTATATATATGTGTGTGTTTTTGGCGGTCTTGCTATAAGTTGCTCTCTGATTGGTTGGGGCTTCTGCTAAAGGTCACCTGACCTCAAATCCAGAAGAAGGGGGGCAGAAGGTGAAAGACGTACAGAGTTTGAGGGTGACACAACTCCTAAAAGACCGTTTCTACGGTCAGTACTTCTCGCGTACCATCCGTTTTCCTTGTTTAAAAAAATGACTTTTCGTGTTCACTCACGTCACCGTTGTTGTGCTGCAGACTTCAGCCTCCACTACACGTGCAAGAATGCCACCGATGCCCTGGTCAACACGACGGTCAACAGTACAGAGGCGATGGTTGAGGCGGGCACTTGTCTAAGAGAGGTCAGCATCCTCTATGTGCTCCTCACCCTCGGAACGCTCTGGTTGGGCGTGTCCCTCTTCAACTTCACGAAGACGTAGGTATTCGCGTCCCGGCAACCCTGAAGCCTAGGTTTGCTGCCACCTCCATGCGTAGTATTTCCTGGGGGTTTGGTGATTAAACACAATCCGTAGTAAATCTTTACAGTGTCATTTTCACATTTCATCACTGCATGTTTTTTATTTCATTGCTCTCTTAGGCACCTGTTGATTCCAAAGGCAATCGAAGAAAATGTTTGTCACAGTGTTAGGGTGTTAATTGTCTACGATGTTATTCATGATCCGACGTGTTGTACGTGATCGGCTGAGTTGTGCATTTGTGTTATAGACCGTTCCTGAATGCCAATAAGAGGGAGGTGATGGCTGACTATGCTCTGCCAATTGCTGTCATTGTTATGACTTTTGTTGGATCCTACCTCTTTCGAGCAGTACCCTGTAAGTAATTTACGTATACTATTCTATGACTGTCATTAAAAAATATTTTATTTATGCATGCTTACATGTATGTATAACAATCAATGTTATATCAAATATTAAAGGGACAGTAGCCTCTAGGATTTTACTGCATACAACTGTACTTACTGTATAACAAATCGTCTATACCCACATGTATTTGTCACCAGATACTTAATTAATTATTTACACATCAACGCTACGAAATTTGAACGGCGCCATGACACCCGCGACCGTGCTGCCACCCTGAAAAAGTTGCGTATTTGCATTTTTATTTTGCAGGTAAATGACCGAGGGTTAATCACAAAAGTGCAATTATATTTATACCTAAATGCTATTTAACCGAACGATATTCATTTTAGGGCAAATTTATCCATATTATAACTGAAACTATATGTCGTTTATAAGATATTACAATCCTTTTGCTTTTAAATGAATAAATAAGAAATACCCTCGGTCTGTAGCCCTTGGCTGGAAAGTGGTTTTGTGCAACTTCTCAGATCGTGCGCTTTGAGTGGCGCCACCGTCGTTGTAATCAAACTGTAGTCGTTAGTTTTAAAACATTAAAAAAAAATATTTCGAATGGTGATTGAACCATGAAACCTTTTATGTAGCGCAATTATAACCTAAATTAGCTGAAAATAACCCTAGAACCTAGAGGCTACTGTTCCTTTAATGTAATACATCAATGTATTGTATATATTCTATTTCCATGTTCATTTCTAAATATATTGCGGCAAAATCTAGGTATTTCATAATGTAGGATGTAGTATTGGAATGTAGCAGCAAACACATGTTGTCATGAACATATCTATACTGGAGTATATTGATGCTCATGATATTGGTGACTGCACTGAATCATAATATAGTAAGAAGGAATAATTTTCCTATGTAAATATGTGTAATTTTCCCCAGGTCGGGCAAGAGTGTATCTTGGTTAATGCTGGTTAGTAGGGGTCCTGGTACCTATAAGCATTTATAATTGTAGGCCGAAGTCCTGTATTTATGATGTGGACATTTTATCTATCATCATTGCAATTCTATTCTGATATACTCAACAGTGCCAGATTTTAACTACGCTGCAACAAACATATTCCAACCCGTGACCTTCAACACACTCACATGGCCAACTCTTGCGCTGTCCTGCGTGCTTGGTTTCTCACTGTCGTTGCTGTTCTTCATGGACCAGAACATCTCAGCTGCCATGGTGAATGCTCCTGAGCACAGGTATACACAAATGTTTTCATTGACATAATAATTGTTTTAGCGTAAGAGTGCTTGCTAGAGAGCAGCAGTCTTTAGAGACACCTGTTATACATACAGAATAGTATAATAAGTAGTGAAACAGGAGTGTTTGTAATAAATCGACCATATTTACAAGCCATTACATTTATTACAGGTTAGGGATGTTGATGATAATACCGACGTATATAGAACTACATTTCACAGTATAGAAATATTTTACTACATCAGCTATCAAGCAATTAATATTCAGACAATTTTTACAACGGGGCGACAATACTTGAGGACGTTGCTGCTGCGTTGTAACAGTTGTCGTTACGTGCGAGTGTGTAATGACTTACGTTCATAGGTGTTAACTAAACTGTCTGTAGACGGATTTCCATGTTGAGAAAAATTTTGGAAATTTTTTTAGATCTTAAGATCTTTTAGCGATATTAAGACAATTTTTGACAGGGGCAACAGTACTTGAAGACGTTGCCGCTGCGTCGTAATAGTTGTCGTTATGTGCGAGTGTGTAATGACTTACGTTCATAGGTGTTAACTAAACTGTCTGCATAGTATAGATGGATTTCCATCTTGAGAAAAATTCTGATTTTTTTTTTGATCTTTTTAAAAGAAATATACAATTTTTACAATTTTTTTAAAAGTGAATTGGATGTAATGATCTTAACTATGTAGGTTTGTTATAGATTCTTCTATAATAGTGCTTTATCCAAGTTTTTATGTTACAAATTAAATTTTGTAACGTTTAACCCTCCCTCTCGCGAACCGCCACCGAACCCAATTATTTTGCAGTTCCCACTCTTCTGTGTTAACACCCATGTATGCTGACGTGTTCTGTGTGATTCAGACTGAAGAAGGGCTCGGCGTACCACCTCGACCTGCTCGTCATTGCTCTCCTCAACCTGTTCTTCTCCGTGTTCGGCTTGCCGTGGATGCACGGCGCGCTGCCACACTCGCCGCTGCACGTGCGCGCGCTCGCCGACATCGAGGAGCGTGTCGACCAGGGACACATCTGCCAGATGTAAGTATATCCGCACTGCGATCATGCCCACGGCGGTGGGGTGGGGGGTCACGTTTACCGGCACGAAAAGGGGACCCCAATCACCACCACGAGAGGGGAACCCTAATCACCACCACGAGAGGGGAACCCCAATCACCACCATGAGAGGGAACCACAATCACCACCACGAAAGGGGAGCCTTAATCACCACCACGAAAGGGGAACCCCAATCATGACCACGAAAGTGGAACCCAAATCACCACCACGAGAGGGGAACCCTAATCACCACCACGAGAGGGGAACCCCAATCATGACCACGAAAGTGGAACCCAAATCACCACCACGAGAGGGGAACCCTAATCACCACCACGAGAGGGGAACCCCAATCACGACCATGAAAGGAGAAGCCCAATCACCACCACGAGAGGGGAACCCTAATTCCCACCACGAGAGGGAACCCCAATCACCACCACGAGAGGGGAAACTTAATCACCACCAGGAGAGGGGAGCTCCAATCACTACCACGAGAGGGTTGTCCTAATCCACGCCAGGTGGGGCACCCTGATCAACCTTCTTGGGTGTCCACGGGGTGCCTCCTTCTCAGTTGTCATTTATGGTAATGTTGTTGAGTTTCCGTTGTCCTGACACAGTGACACGCGAGGATATTTATAAAAGATAAGTTGTGCCACCTGCCATGTGCATGTGAGCCACCCACAGGCACTCATGGCAGATGCATGCACAGCAGCAATTCCTCACATCGCTGTGTATATTTATTATATTATAGAGACTGGCCGACAACTTTTGTACCCACAGATATTTGCCTCTACCTTGGCTACATTTACCTCTAACTAACATACCTCTACATATTTTCCTTCCACTTTCGTTTTGATATAATCAGGAGTGGTCATGCCATAATCCTGTCATTGTTGTGGAAAAATGGTTGTTACTATTAGTTAATGAGTTTAGTCATGGTATGGTATAGTATGTGTGCATAATGTACATGTGCTTATACGTGATGATGTTTGCATATGAAAGACGTTTTTCAGGGATGCCAGTGTGACCTAAGGCTGGGTAAGGATAGTAAAACAGGAATCTATCAGACGTAAGTCAACGAAAAGAGAGCTATGGATTGTAGCTTGTGTTGTCTCAGAAACCAGTGTAGGCAGAACTAAATTTCACTGCATGCGTAAATCCAGTATGTGGGTTTTTGCTGTAGGTTTTCTTTCATTCTTTTAATCATTCATAGATCATTCCACGTATCATAAACGATAGGATATGTTGCCTTGAATTTGAATTTGAATTTGTTTTCGATGGTAATATAGTGTGTTGTGTGTTTAATACATGATTGCTATGTAGATGGTAAAGATCATGGAAACATGATTTGACATACCAGTAGGTGTTTGTTTATGGGTGTTACTATGTTGTAATTAACATAGATTGTGCACATTAGGTGATTTGCCAACTTTTATATTAGTTATTTCTTTTAGTTATTCTCACCACTGTTAACTATGTATCTGTATACATGCCAACTTTAATGAGAATTATCTCCTTTCCCGTCTGGACCGAAAGCGGATGCCCAGCTCGCGCATGTGCGTAAGGGTGCTTGTTGTTGGGCATTTGTCTCAATAAATGAAAAAAATGTAAACACGAAATGTATTTACTACCAAAGTTTTAATGTTTCTCTACTTTATTTCACCTATTATTGCTGATAATTAACCGTAAATGCCGTGCAAATGCTCATCTGCAACACACAAGTACACCGCACGCTCGCCCTGTGCACAAACAACATGAATAAGAGAGCAGGTAGGAAAGCGTGATCACAAAATTCGCTCGACGCTCGCTTCATTTCACACGCCTACAGAACGAAAACACACCAAACAGCCTCCATCTTGGTATCTATCTGTAGCTAAATGTTTACTTGTTCGAATTATAACTCTGTCCTTTGTTCTTACCTACTCCCGCCAGAGATATCTCATGAAATCCTGCAGGAAATGTTCTCTCCGTGAAAAATGTAAAGAGAACGAGATGTCTGTTTATACACAAGTAATGGGCGCATTGCATGCTGGGATGAGCTGCTGCCTGCCTTCGAGCCTCCGTTTCGAGTCCCGCCAAGCCAAGCATAATGCGAGCGGGCATGATGTCACACACACACGACTACAGTGATCGATCGAAAGTAGCGCCGTTAGGGATTTT